AGAGTTTTACTTCCTCTTTGCCAATCTGGATGCTTTCAATTTCCCTGTCTTGCCAAATAGCTCTTGCTAAGACTTACAGCACAATGCAATGCTTATTTTACATTGTCCAAAGCTAAAGTATACTGTTGGCTAAATATAAAAGTGTACAGGTAAATCTCGAAGGATCCAAATTTGTATACCATACAATTATAATAGACTGTATCTGAGATTCTTTGAGTTGCTTCGGAATACAGATAATAAACAGTCTCTATTTATTAAGGACCTCTGGTAGTGTAGTGGTTATGAATCGGGCTGCGAACCTTAAGGTCAGCACTTTGAAACTACCAGCTGTTCCGCGGGAGAAAGATGAGTCTTTCTGCTCCTGTAAAGACTTAAAATCTTGGAAACCCTGTACAGCGTCGCAGTGGGTCGGAACTGACTCCACGGCACATAACTACCACCACCATTCTTTCCATTATTATTTGTGAGATAAAAGACTCTCCAAATTATGAGCTTATTAGCAATATAGTATACTAACTTCTACAGGTGTCATGATACAAAACAACAACAATAACAAAAACTTCTAGTCAAACAAAAATCTTCTGTGTCTCAGCAGTGAAACTATTTTAAATATTGATTTGAAACTGTTAGTAATTTTTGGAATCTGTATTGTGTAATTGCATGAATCGAAGTGGCAATGTTGGCCTGGTTGAAAATTGGGTACTTTACCTTGCTCCACCTCATTCTCAATAGAGACCAGTGTCCCCCCCTCTTTAACACAGAAATTCTGAGCGGATGTCCAGTTCTTCTGGTGGCTTGGATCTTTGGGGGTTTTCAATAAAAGGCACTATTAAAAAATGTCAAAACAAAGAGTTCAGTTTTGCATTTTCCTAAATAAAATTAAAATTTTCCAAAGATACTCTGAGGATTATCCATAAAAATTCTGTGAAATTTTCTTGGGCAGAAATAGCCCTTAAAAATTTTTTTTCCTTCACTTGCTCCAAATCATAGAACAACAACTTTCAGGTGATTCAATGACATATATGAATTTGCATCTAGCAAGAACAGAACAAACAGAAACAAAACCAGGATTTCAGAGCAATACTTTTTGCCCAATAAAAAATATCATTCCTACCTAAAAAGAAGGCAGCCTGATCGCACACGTTACAGTGGCAGGTATCTGAAAAAATTCTGGGGTTCGAAATGAACAGTCCAGTTCAGTTTCATTTACAAATACATTTCCTCACTTTAAAAGGGAAAGGAATACTAAAGAACCATACCACATCTGGAATTTAAATTCATTAAATGATTGGAATCAGACATTTGGTCAATAAATCAATCAGAAAGAGCCAGAAAAGAAATGATGAGCCCAGTGAGAGGAAAAGCAGGCAAGGGCAAGACCAAGGTAGCAGGAAGACAGAGAAATAAAGGAGGCTTTGTTTCTACAACAAAGTCAAGGACAAAAGAAAGGCAATGGGAGGCTGAGGGATACTCATGAGACAATCATCTCTGTGGCATGGCAGGCTGAGGAATGGAATGGTGCCCAACTTGGAAGGTAAGGAAGGCTGGAAAGAAAGTTTTCTCCACCCCTTAAAGTTCTATGAGGAGTCTCTAGGTGGTTCAAACCCTTAATGTGCTCAGCTACTAAGTGCAAAACAGAAAGTTTGAGTCCACCCAGAAACATCTCAGAATAAAGGCTTTTGAGAAATCAGCCATTGGAAATCCTAAGGAGCACAGTTCTACTCCAATACACATGGGGTCGCTATGAGCTGGAGTCAACTCAATAACAACTGGTCTTAAAACTCAGTGACATTTAAATTTATTGGTAGGACCAGAGCCAGGGAAGAGGGAATGATAAGAGAAACAGTTTCTAAATGGGCCAGGTAAGGCTCCAGAGGAAACCAGCAGGGACTTTATTCAAAGCATAAAATGCAGCTTTGTGAGATCTGAGGATTTTCCCCGCCTCAGGGGATATTTGACAATGTCTGGAGACATTTCTTGTTGGCAAATCCCGGAAGGGAGTTGTGATTGGCATCTAGTGGGTAGAGGCAAGGAATGTTACTAAACATTCCACAATGAACAGGACAGCTCTCACAGCAAAGAATTATCTGGCCCCAAATGTCACTGGCACTCAGGCAATTCTTTTCAAAACTCAGTCCTGATGATGTTACGCTTTTACTTTAAAGCCCTTCAGAGGTTTCCCTTCGCTTTTAGGATCAAAACCAGAAACCGTGATCTAGCCTAAAGGTGAGTTACCAACTAAAAGGAAATACATTCTTTTGATTCCCCTTACCTTGTATGCTTTAGAAAGAAACTGAATTGGGTTTTAAGGAGTTTAATTTTACAACAATTTCTCTTTTATCTGCTTCTTTTCTTTTTTGCCTCTTTCTTCTAATTGCAAATTCCAAAAAGAGGCACATATTAATTATTAGGAAGTCTTATCATTTAATGTAAATTCCTCCTTGTTCAGATAGTCACAACACTAATGAACCATTCAAAAATACCAGTGAGCCTCATTGGCTCTGTTAGCCTAATATATCTCTCTAGAAAAACACCCACACATCCCTCAACATACACACACACAACATTTGCCTCAAACAAGATTTACCAGTTGACAATGGAAGTATGACCTCCCATTACCATGACTGTGTTCTTTCTAAAAGTATACATATTTACTAACATAGTCTGAAATAGTATCATTAATAATAAATTAAGCAAAATGAAGTATAGCATCCTTAATTTTAAACTGTTTACTTATTTACTAATTTGAAAAATATGATCAGGTTTAATGTATCTCTAATTATTATTGTGACTTAAGTAGGTACTACTGTATTCTGTTAGTAGTGACTTAAGAGGAGTCATGGTGTGGCACTATAAGTTAAGCACTGGACTGAGAACCACAAGATCGGTGGTTTGAGCCCACCAGCTGCTCCATGGAAGAAAATTGGGACTTTCTGCTCCTGCCAAGATGGACAGTTTCGGAAACCCTATACAGGGTCACTATGAGTTGGAACCAACTTGAGGACACTTAGCAACACCAACTATATTTGAAATGCTTTTTGAATGTAAAGTTGTTTTTTGTCTCAGTCATTTCTAGCTCATCATTTAAAACTGGATCTCATGATTCCCTCCCCGTCTCCACCCACTCACCTGACCTTGAATGGCACAGTCAGCCACACGGTTCTATATGCTAGAAACTCAGGGGGTACCCTCGCCCTCTCACTCCATCACCCCTACAACTCTACCAGCTGAACAGCTCATTTCTTACATACCATCCCCTCCCTCAAGCTCCACCGTGTCTACCACCACTTTCTTAGCCAATGCTACCATCACCACGCTAGCCCTGGTGCTGCTGCCGGAGTGATTCTACCCACAACTCAGTTCTGATGACGTCACTCTTATGTTGAAAACCTTCATTGGTTTTCCATTACTCTCAGTATAAAAAAACCAAAAACCAATATGACATGGCACTTGCTTATTACTTTAGTCAGTCTCACTTCTCAACATTTTAGATCCCTAACCTACTCACAGCATTTAACAACATCAACACATGCTTCGTTTTAAGGAGCCCGGGTAGCATAGTGAGTGATGAGTTGGGCTGCAGACTGTAAGGTCAGCAGTTTGAATTTTCCAGCTTGCTCCTTGAGAGAAAGATAAGGCTTTCTGCTCCCGTAAAGACTTACAGCCTCAGAAACCCTATGCAGAGTTACTATGAGTCAGAACTGACTTGCTAGCACACAGAAGAAGTAAGGGTATACCATCTTTTCCTTCTTAAATATGTCATATGTCACTTCAGAACCCTGGCACATGCGATTCCCCTACTTTAATGCTTCCTTCCTGTCAGATCCTCCTGTTAGGCACTTTTACACGTGTGTAGCATGTGTCACAGTTTTAAATGATAGTTATTTTCTTGATTGATATATTAATGGTTGTTTCCCCTCTAGTCTGTAAGCTCCAAAACAGAAGGGCTTGTGTCTGGTTTTCCTCATAACTGAATTGCTAATAACCAATGTAGTTAAAAGAAGCTCTGGTAGCGTAGTGGTTATGAGTCAGGCTGCTAATCTCACAGTCAGCAGTTTGAAACTACCAGTTGTTCCGTGGGAGAAAGATGAGGCTTTCTGTTCCCGTAAAGATTTACAGCCTTGGAAACCCTATGCAGGGTCACTATGAGTAGGAACCGACTCCACAGCACGTAACAACAACAATGTAGTTAAATTAATGAATGAGTAAATGAGTAAAGTGTTAAGAAGTTGAACACATCCCAAGTAGAGTTGTTGCTGTTTTTTTAAATTAAGGAAAGACTATGTTGTTGTTGTTGTTAAGTGCCGTTGCGTTAGCTCTGACTCATAGTGACCCTGTATAGGGTTTCTGAGGAGCAGCTGATAAGTTTGAACCACTGACCTTGCGATTCAAACCGACCTTGCAGTCCAACGCATTAACACACTGCGCCACACCAGGACTATATGTATGAAATCAAATATTGGTGAATCCCAACTAGTTGCTACAAAGTATCCATTAGCAATCAACAAAAAGTTATAATAGAAGTGTATAAATTAATCTAAAATAAGTAGAATTTCTTTTTCCCATTGCTCTGCTGTGACAAGTATCTTAGATGCCACAATCTTTCAAGAGTGACTCTTAGTATCTTTTATACCATCAAACAAGAAGAAGATAATTTTTGAGACACGAGAAAATATGTTTAACTTCTGAGTATCTGTTTTTAAAAGTCTTAGAGGTGGGTAATCAAGCTTTTCTTTTACTTAGAAATAAACAATAAAATTTTGGCCTAAGAAACTGACCAATAGGCAGCTAAGTTAAACTCACTGAAAACTGTGAAGTAATATCTTCATTGTATAACCAATTTCCTCCTGTAGCTTTATTTGTTAAACATTCCTACAGGGCTCTCTACTTTTCTTAGCTATCAGTCTTTCTATTACCAATTTTATAAAAATCTGATAAACTCACGTATTCTGAGTTATGGGTAACAATGAGGCAATCTAAGGAGTATTTCTCAAGGAAACGATAAAGGAAGATGCCAATCCAAAGAAATGAAACTCTAATAGTGAATTTTAGCCACTAATATGCAGGGGAAGGCCTGGAGGTTCAGGACCATGGTCTCAGGGGACATGAGGTAGACTGGAATAACACAGTCTACAAAGACAATATTCTACATCTGAGTTAGAGACTGGAATCTTAAAAGCTCATGAGTGGCCATCTAAGGTGCAACTATGAATCTCTCCCTATCTGGAGGAAAGAAGAGTAATGAAAATTGAAGGTGCTTGGAAACAATTAGCGCAGTGGACGAATGGGCCATCTGAGCATCCGTCTCCATAATCCTGATACCAGAGAAATAGGTAGAACCCAGCTACCACTACCAACTGCTCTGAAAGAGCTCACGTTAGAAGGTCCTGGATAGAGTGGGAGGAAATTCAGACCAAAACAAACACAGAAAAAAGACCAGGTTAATTGAGATGTCATCAGATTGAGATGATGGCCCTCGGTCACTCTTCGGGTCTGGAATTGAACTGACTGCTTTCCAACCCTCCCCTCACCCTCCATGGCTCAATTTTCAGCCAAGCAATAGATAGATACATAGAGGAGACAACAACATGAGTGAGGTACACACACCATAGAATAGTCAACCATCTGAGATTTTAAAGAAATAAGGCAGCATTTACCTAAGGACAAAATTCAGAAGGGTTGATAAAGAAGGAATGGAAAAAGAAACACAGGGACTATGTTGGATAAGCGATGCTACGTAGAGGGAATTGTGATCATTGAGATGAAATAAAGTCTACGTTGAATGTAAAACCGATGGTCTGTTCTGTAAACCTTCACTCAGTTCAC